GTTCCTGGGCTGTGTGAAGGCTGATAAAGAAATCTACCTATGCGATAAAAGTCAATGCTATAAAAGTAATTTCACTAATTTCACCCCGTGAAGTGGAAAAAGGACTTTCCACAATCGCTAGCTAACAGCTCGTCTATAAAAAAACATAGTTAGGAAAAACAAGGGAAGCCATAATCAGCAAGTCTGATCCCAAATCTTTTTCTAGAGTTTGCTTCCACAGTGTTCTTACAGTTCTTGGTCTGGGATCTGGTTTTGAACTGGTAAGAACAGCAATTACAAGACTAAAGCTGAAATTTAGACTTGAATCACCCTTTATGCCAAATCCTACCCTGACCGTTTAAGAATTCTGAATTTTAACATATGTTCTTGATCTCAGAGCCAGACCTGGATGGTGACATTCACGCCCTAGAAATGTCCTAGCTAGCTTAGTTGCCTTCTCCGTGCTACCTGCTAGTGGGTTTGTATTGCAGAAGGTGCTCCGAGAGCAAACGGACTCTTTGAGCACTGCAGTGACTCTGGATGTGACTGGAAAAAACACATAAAGCATTTTTATGGTCAACAAATAGGTATGATTTTATTGAGCGGCAGGATACACAAGAAAAAAATTGTTCTTTTTGAGTTACTGATTTTTTTTTTAAGAATGAAATAATCAGGAGCTGTCCTATAAGGAATGTGGCTTTGATGTTTTAACAACTCCTAGAAAGCATTTGAAATGTTAGGGCTCTGCTAGGAAGGCTTTCTTAGGAAAACATCTACCAGAAGAGGCCATGGCTAGGACATGGCAGCTTGTTACAGAAAGAAAAGGATGTCTTTGCCCTAACGAAGCCCTAAAGTCCAGCCAGTGTGATCAGCCCCTGTAGGAAGGGGTGGTGGTGCCTGGAGATACGTCCTGATGAGGCTCTGCTGCTGCTCCCAAGCCCTATTTCGGTAAGCAGTTGGGGTCTTAGACTCCTCAAATCCATCCTTAAAGGAAAAATCTCAATGCAAATCCCCTAATTCCCATTGTGCCTCTGCCTGGAAACGTGGGGCTAGATTTCATGTTAGTTCACAAAGCCGGCACAGACCCGTGGCCTTCAGTGGAGTGAATTTGTGTTGCTGAAGGTCCAGGCTACAGCTCTAACCCACTTTAGCCAGAGAAGCACGTGCTTTGCAGGGGACCGAAATGCCCGCTGTGTGTCACCCCGCGCTGTCCCTGCACTCAGAGCTGGGGGAGGGCGAGCTCAGTGCAAGATCCACCTCAGTGCTACGAGATGTCCAGCGACGTTGCCAGCCTCTGCCCTCTCCTTTGAGCCTGTGCTCTGCCCTTTCTTGCCTCGTGTCTCCAGCATAAGCTGTTGTCCAGGTACTAGCGGTGAATGGGACAACGTGGGGCACCTGATTTCAAGTTGCTTTTCCTCCTCTCTCCACCCCCTTGGTATTTTTTTCTCCCACTCTGTCGTGCGTCCCTCCCCAGCCGGTTCCCTTCCCACTTTTCTGCCATCTCTACTTCTCCCCAAACCCATGCCCATCTCTCTCCTGCCCAGAGGCTTCTCTTGCCTTCGCTGCACTTGCTCCAGTCAACGCCTTTCCCTGCCACAGTCTTTGACCGTCCTGGTGCTCCGGCTTCTACCCCAGCCCCTGCTAACGAGCGACTGCAGAGGAGCAAAGCCAGCCCTTTCCTGCCTATGGTTTTATTGTCTGCCCTGAAACAAACTCTTGTGTTTCCAACTCGTGGCCTCTCTCCGTTGCCAAGTGCTCATGCAGCCAATGATGTAGTTTAGCTGGATTAAACAAACCCTGGCAGGCTCCCAGCATGTTTTACAGATTTTTTTTTTTTTTTTTTGGTGTTTGTGTCTCGTTACAGTGCAACTGAATGACCTTTATCAAGAGAGAAAGTGTACAAGATTTCACCTCATTATTTTCAGAGAAACTGGTTAGTTAGGGTCCTCAGAAAGCTGGGCAAATTTCTGTGTTTGAACCGTTTTGATGGCTAATTGTAGCCTGCAAAGGGAGCTCCTCTGTGATGGGTTGCTGCGTTTTGCCCAGGTTGGAGACAAAACCAAGCAAGGTCATGTGGACTTTAAATCCACCTAAGTTTGCAGTTTTACTGAAACTTCTGGAACCTCTCTTGTAAGCCTGATTAAACTTTGGTGCTACTTAAAATTATAACAAAGCAGATTGCTCCAGACTTCCAGGGCTGTTTGTCAGGGATCTGTTTGCTCCAGTTAAAGGATGGAGAACTTGTACATCAAGGCACATATGAAACGGCTTGAATTCCAGGAGAGAGGGCTGGGATTTTTTGGAGGGAGGGGAAGAAACTATATGAGCCAGGGAGGCTTTGTCTGCAAAAGTAACCAGCATTGTACGTTTTCACCAGACAAACTTTTTGCACATATAAGTACAATGAATAAGAAAAATACGCTGCTAGTTAGAAAGGGTTGGTGACCTGTTCTTTGCAGAACAGATGTTTTTCTCTTGCAATAGCAAGGGCAATGCATGACACTTGGAAATCAGTTCTGACTATAACATTGCACAGTTTTTATTTCTGGATTTGAGCAACTGAACATTTTTCATAAAAAGGGAATTTTTCGAGAGTCTGAAAGAAGCAAGTAGCTGGGGAAGAGTTAATATCAAGATCTCTCCTGTCCCCCCCCTTTCTCCCCTTTGGTATCTTGTGCTTGGGAAAAAAAAAATTGCCCATTTGCCTAAGAGCTGGTCTGTCCTTCTGCGGATGGTCGCAGCATGGTTGCTCTCCTTGAACGTTTCAAGTTCTTCCAGCCATTGTCAGCAGTAGCTGCTGTCTCCGAGGCACTGTTAGGCCAGACTGTTGTGTTGGCAGTACTTTGGGTTTTTAGCAGAAGAACAGTCCTTCCAGTAGACTGGTCAGTGGCAAAAAGGTCCCGCTAAAGCAGGACTATATTTACTTAGGCTGAGCTACCAGTTTTCTGCAGTTTCTCTAGGTGTTAAAAAGCAAACAGTTTCCCAAGAAGAAAGGTAAGAGAGAGAAGAGGGGACAGCGCTAAGGAGGAAGAGGCATCTGTATTGAGAAAACATTTGCTCTGGAAATAAGAACTGGAGGGGTGAAAAAATATGAACTGTCAGAAGAATAAGCTGAATATTTAAAAGATTGCATTGCTGATGCTACTGTGTGCTTGTGGTCATCCTTGCTGGAGCAGAGACAGTGAGATACATTCAAGGAGTCAGAAAGAGATGCATACATTAAGGCAGTCTTAACAATGTTAGCCACAGTCCCAGGCTAGCCCATCCCTACCTGTCCGGGAAATTACAGCATCCAGAAGGACGTAATTGTTTATGCTATTAGAAATCAGCTATAAAAGTTGCTCAAAGTCTGTTCAAGCTTCAGACACCCCGGAGGCAGTGTCTGAAGCTTTTCATCCTAACTGTTTCGTAGTGCTATTCAGTATTGCCAGCTTAGGGGTGGGCAAGAACACCAAGATAAGCCCTTTGCAAACCTTAGGCATTACTAGCTAGGTTAAGTTGCAGTCCTGCCTATGAATTTCCCGTCTGTAAGTAAAGAAATAATCTCATCTTATTCTCCAAAGAGCGGGGTGAGAATACATTTTTTTTTTCCTAAGTGGCTGGCCACAGTCCTAGAGTTGTCTTTGTTCACAAAGAACCTGGCTGATTTTGTGGGACTCTGTTCGCAGTCAAGGATTTGATAGAGAGGATCCAGTTTCAGAGCTGAGCAAAGTCCTGAGGCGTGCAAAGTCATTGCCTGATAACTAGAGTATCCCAACTGGGTGTTTTGAGCGAGCAACAGGACAGCTGGTGGAACTGGAGACTGCTTTTGAAACCATGGCCCTTTATTATAAAGTAAAGAGTATGTCTCTTCTGTTGAATTATAATCAAATCCAAAGCCCTTGATTTATTTGGGATTGGGTTGCCTGTGAGAGAAGCACCTGGAAGCTGTTCACCCGTATCTCCTGATGAGCCTTTCATGGATTTTGGTACTTAGGTGTTGGGCAGAAAATAGAGTTTTAGACAACTTGTAAGAGGATTCTGTAGAACAGAAGGTTTCATATCACCAGCACAGCCTGGGCAATTCTGTTTTCAGCTGCGTCCCTGAAGGACCTCGAGCCAGACTGAATGGTTGGGCAGCTCCTGCTTTTCCAGGGAGAACTCATTTTCTTCACCGATTGTTCCCAAGAGAAGGGTAAATAGTGCCATTGCTCCAGGCCTCTGACAAGCAGAAAGAGGTTTGGTTTCTGCCAGGCACGTGCAGGCAGGCAGAGCCGTGTGGTTTTGCAGCACACTGTCTAACTGCTCTGCTGAAAAGACCGCGTGTGGTTACACTGCAGCGCTCACGAGCAATTAGTAAGTTTTGCTTATGCGACTTATTTTGGTCTTTTGTGTAAGTTACTGACAACCACAGTGCTGTGCCAGATCTGTTGCTCGTTAAAGAGAAAATAGACCCTCTCCTAAAGGAGGCATTTTGCTGTTTAAGCCCAAAGATCTTCCATGGACCCCTGGAAATAGGGGCTGGTCGTAAAAATACAGCTATATTAACCCTGCTGAGAGGTGGTTAGACATTAGTTGTGCAGGGTCAGTATCACAGCTTTTCCTAAAGCGATGCTATGATTAGAGAAAGAAAGGAGGGAGAGAAAGGAGGGAGCCCACGGCCGCCGGGCTCGGGGCAGGGCTGAAAGCCCCGTCACGGCACGGCAGCTGCGGGTGCCCGTGGGATGCAGGCAGGGCTGACGGGCATCGCAGCCCGCCTGAGCTCCCTGCGATGGTGATCACGGACCACGTTATTTTTACCTTGATAAGAAAGTGAAACTCTGTGCTGAGCTCCTCTTTTACACAAATACGGGAAAGAAGAAGGAGGCAGGGGCTGACTGGGGCGTCCTTGGATGGTAAATACTCACTGAAGCCTCACGAGTCTTACGTGTCTGTGAATCAGGGGCTTGCGTGGTTTAGGTGGAACTAGAATGGATCTTGTGAAGAGCAGGTCAAGGTTGGATATTAATGCCCCTTTTTTTAAACACTCCTTCTCTCCATCCTCCCAACCTTCCATTTTGTGCAATACTGGCATTGCTTTTCACCCCCTGAAGCACATTTTAAATCTGTCTGGATTAAACAGGTTGCCTGAGCCCGTACCAGTAACAGTTCACCAGACAGAAAACTCCCCTCCGACCGCGCACGTAGGTACAGACTGAAATCTGAGAGTAAAAGACACACGTGTGATTCCCCCCGCGCACCCCCCCGCCCCGTCACTCACGCCCCATTAAGATTCATGTTTACTTATGGAGGTAAGCATCCAGCCACAGATCTCCAGATTTCTTTAGGGACCTGTGGAAAGAAAATGAAGAGAAGTTTGGCCTGTGAATCCTCCCTCTCTTGTTTCGTTCCTACAAAGAAGCCTGTTACTGAATTTGAAGGTGAATCCTTAGGACACCGAAAGTCTTTCCCCAGCAGAGCAGACGTAGCAAGAAGAGCCGCGTATTTCGCTCTTTAGACCCCGAAGTGACCAGTTTGAGCCTCAGTGAGCAAGACCTTCACCTGGTGCCCACTGTGCTGTCTGTAGTCCCTCTGGCCTCGAATAAACAGCAGAGGAGAAGGGCCCAGGCTCACCACATTGCACCTCTGAAGGAGTTTCCCCGCTTCCCCCCAGGAATTCTCACGCAGAATTTCCCATCTGCGTCAGCACAAATATTATGTGACAGATCTGAGCTGATTTGGGCCCAAAAGTCCTCCGACGAACAGAATGTGGTCTGGAGGCTGGAAATGTAGCTTTATGTGGTTTACGGGAGATGATGCTGCTATCGGGAGGGCAAGTAATTGCTGAGATGGTTTCTGAGAACTTGCGTGGGGACATGCGGTGGGGTGCTGGGCATAACCCCGCTGGGCCTCAGCGTTGCATGCATTCCCCTGTGCTGACTGGATGAGAGGACCAAAGGAGGGTTTGAACCAGTTTTCAGCCCTTCTGCACGTTGGGGCCAATCTGCTTTAATTTGCATTTGCTTAGAATGGTTTGAGAGTGGAGATCCCTGGCCTGCAGAATACTTTCTCATGTTCCCTGTCATGAATTATTCCCCTTCGAGTAACTGAGACAGAAACGTTAACCCAGAGTCTGCCTGACAAGGACCGTTAGACTAGGCTTCAACTATGCCTATAGGGAATAGCCCTTTGCTGCTGGCAGGGCTCAAATGGGCTGGAACCTGACTCAGTCCCCTTTGATTCATCTCACTTTGCAGCCTGAAGATATGCTGCCAGCTCCCGAAAGCAAGAATCATCAGCTGTCAGAAAAGCATTTAAAAAGGTATTATAAAAAAAGGTCATAGAATCACGGAATCATTAAGGTTGGAAAAGACCTCTAAGATCATCAAGTCCAACCGTTAACCCAACACCCCCATGCCCACTAAACCATGTCCCTAAGTGCCTCATCTACACGTCTTTTAAATACCCCCAGGGATGGGGACTCCACCACTGCCCTGGGCAGCCTGTTCCAAGGCCTGACCACTCTTTCAGTAAAGAAATTTCTCCTAATGTCCAGTCTAAACCTCCCCTGGCGCAACTTGAGGCCATTTCCTCTCGTCCTATCGCTGGTTACTTGGGAGAAGCGACCAACCCCCACCTCGCTACAACCTCCTTTCAGGTAGTTGTAGAGCGCGATGAGGTCTCCCCTCAGCCTCCTCTTCTCCAGGCTAAACAGCCCCAGTTCCCTCAGCCGCTCCTCATCAGACTTGTGCTCCAGGCCCTTCACCAGCTTCGTTGCCCTTCTCTGGACACGCTCCAGCACCTCAATGTCCTTCTTGTGGTGAGGGGCCCAAAACTGAACACAGGATTCGAGGTGCGGCCTCACCAGGGCCCAGTACAGGGGCACGAGTACAGGTCCTATTAGATCAGGTTAGTACCCATCTAAATGCTAAGCATTCGTGCTTTGATAGCAGTGCTCTGGCTGCAGAAGCTGCTCTTGGGGACAGTTGCTTCTTCCCCCATGACGTAGCGAAGCAGTTTCCCGTCTCTTGTCGCCTGGCGTTAGTCCACTAAATCAGTGGAGCTGTGTCATTTCTGCTGTGGGTCAACATTGCTGTAGGTGTTCCTTGGACTGCGATGTGAAGATTATTAACCCAGTGACACCAGATTACAACATATTGACATGGTATTTCTGAAGGGTCTACAGTGTCCTGAATTCTCTGTATTAGAAAATATGGGATGTTCACGTAACAATGAATGGCAAGCTGCAGATGACACTAGAAGGACCTTACCCAACGATGTCTACGAATGCTTTTCCAAGAGGCTTCTCTTCATATTGGACTCCATACTTGGCACATAATGACTTCACCAAAGGTTTCACCTTCCAGAAATTGTGCCGTGGCATTGTTGGAAACAGGCTTGAATAGAGAAAGAGAAAACACCTGAGAAAACTCTAAAGACTAACCTCAAGGGATGGGTATCTCTGTCTGCCTCCTCATTAGGGCTAATTATTGATGCCTTCTCCTCAAGCTGTACAAGCAGATAAAAGAAAGTGGACACAGAGAGGTGTCCATGCTTTATGGTCCTCTTTCTCAAGGAGGCTTGTCAAAACTGAACGCATGGATTTCCCATCTCTGGAAGCTGATGGAACAGTGAAGCAGGTAAGGAAGAACTTGGGATCACCTTGCCCTGTGCTGCTCAATGGAGGTTTCCTAAGCTGACTTCCAAACCAGTCAGCCTTACCCTAAATGCCGTCTCTTTTACATTTTGTATTGTCACTGGCAACAGACTGTCCATATGGCCCTGGTTTTAATATCTTTCCTGGAACCTGGTTCCCAGCAGCGTACACAGTCCCACAGCCGTCCCATGCTATAAAACACTGAAGTGCTTTTAGTCAGGGAGAGGAAATTTCTGAAATGGATACTCAAGTTTAAGTAGTTAGCTTAGGGTATGAGTCCATAGCCATTCTAACTGGTAGATTCGTACCACTGACTCCTAATTAAACCCCAAATTAAAATAGAGTGAAAGCTGAAGTATTTGGTAGCAAGAGAGAAAGATGCCATGCCTGCAGTAGAAGCAGACTATGACCCCCAGTACTCTGGGACTCTCTTTCCTTGGCGTATGGTAGTGCTCCACAGATCCTGCCCCATCCCACACATCTGCCTTTAGCAGACTTTCCCTCGCCTCAAGTCCGGTGTTGTGACAACCCGGTAATGGCCAAATGATTCTGTTCCCATACTCACTGGTGCTCGATTTGAAAATTCAGGTGCCCGGTGAACCAGTCGTTGAAGAAGGACTGCTCGATATTGCAAGTGGCTGCCACCTGTGAAGGCAAGAAAGCAGCTGTGAAGATTAAGTGAAGTCTGACCCTAAAACCAGAACGAAGCTTCTCTTGCCCGTGGCAGGGGCTGGTACGTGTCTTACTGCGCTGAGCTGTCAGAGCCGAGATAGCTGGCTGCAGCAAGGGGGGCTTTAATCCTCCTTCAGGGCTTACTGTCAACTGCTGTGCTGGCCGTGTCTCGGTGGTAAAGGGGACAATATAAGGAGGCAGTTTGTGGACATTTGGTGACGAGTCACATAGCAGTCCAAGGATAGACTCCTAATTCTCAGCCTTTCCCGATGGAGATCAGATGGTTAACAGCACCCAGGTGGAAAGGGGGGAGGAAAAATGCATGGAGACAGAAAGCCTGCTCTCCCCATCCCATCAAGTTATTGCCCAGTTTGCCTTAAGTGCAAGATCTGAATATTCGGGAACTATTTCTTAGCTACTCTTGCTATTAATGATGGTAAAATTAGGTAGTCTTTCTTAAAATCCTCTTACACTCTGAACTGGCTAAGCTGTGATTTCTGCATGGTAACCCTCCTCACCCCCCAAGATGCACCGTAAAACCACATCAGTGTCAGAGAGGCTTATCTCCCTCTGTCGTACACACATTTTCGCTCTCTCCCCCACATCTCTCTTTTTTATAATCCCCCTCCCCAAATCTCTCACAACCTCTCTCTCTCTCTCTACAAATTCCAGTTGCATAAAGTGCTTAAGCAAAAGCTTCAGGTGAACATCTGAATACTCCCATGACTTCAGTGAATCTATTCACATGCTTAATTTAAAACAAATGCTTAGGTGCTTTCCTGAATAGTGCTTTTAGCACTTTTTTTTTAGTGTTTTTAGCAGAAGGGAAAGAAATTGACTGTCAGACTTTGAAAGCTCTCCTTCAAGGCCCCATTAACAACTACAAATACTAATTATACTACTTAATACGTGAGATAATTTCTTCTCTCGGCTCAATTATACCAAAGTCATACAGCCAGTGTCAAAGTTGCTCTCATTATCCTCTAGGTCTGAATAGGACTTGGACCACTGTAAATAAGAGGTATCCTTTCATTTGTCTGACCAGGCATTAAAAAGATTTAGAAAGCAGCTGGTTTTCGTTTCAGTCCTTATTACTGAAATATAAACTTTAGAAATATATTGAGCTCTCTCTTCAGCTTTGATTTCCATTGGGGCTCTTCTATTTGCTCTATTTGGGGCTCTTCTATACGTATATGCCAGCACACACCACCCAGGAAAGCCAAATCATGCTTCTTGAACCTGATACTGCCTTAAATCTGAAAGAACAAAATATCACCTTTTGATTGTCAAATTAATTACAGAAGTTTGAACTTCCATGTCTTGACCCAGCACTGCTGGCTCTGGGGAGAACATCTTTATGGGAGGGATCATGGACAAAGACCTGATCCCGGTACCTGGAGACAGTGGTAACCCCTCCGCTCCTTGAGTACCTTTCTAATCCCTTTCGGGGTAAGTCAGGAGTATTCTTTCCCCTCCCGGTTACCTGAGAGCTAAGCCAGTCTCTGTGCTTCTCACAATCAATTTCCATTGGAATGTGATTCATCTGGGTGACCCACACAAACCAGTGACTCTCCAGAAACCTTCAAAACCAAACAGGCAAAAACCATGACAATTTATAGTGCAGACTGGGATAAGTGGCAAGTAGGGTGGGGTTTACAGGCAGCAGCAGGAGACACAACGTGCAAAGAGAGTATGTCTCCGAGGTATATGGAAGTAAACACCTCTCTTTCTATGGAAACTAGAGAGAATCACTTCCGTGATGAATTTCTCTTCCCCTCTTTATACCTCTGGGACTAAGGCAACTGTGATTTACTATAAGGAGGACATCCTACTGGGCTATCCCTCTCCCTTTTCCTCAGAAGTGGATCGACTTCTCATGCCTTTCGGTAAGTAAAGATGATCCAACTCCCTGAAAAAAAATCAAGCCCCAATTTAGAAATTCTCAGAACTGTTTTCATCTTTCCCATTGCTTGCTGGATATACATTAATTTCAAAATCCACCTGCCCATTGGTGTTAGCTTTCTGGGTGTCAAGCTTAGCACCCTGGTGCTCCCACCTTCCCTTTGCTCTCTCAGTACGTTTACCATAAGTCTCAACTCTGCCCTGGGCTGGGTATTGCTTTAGAGCGGCTTGTTTATTGCTTATGGTATATAACTGCATTTTTAGCACCTATACAATAGTCTACAGAAATGCACTTTCTTCTCTTGATTTACCCAAAGTAGTTTCTCTATGCTGAGACTTAGGTGCATGTTGACAAGGTAGTTGTCCAGAAGCATCCTTGTTCTAGTCTTTAGGCTTGTTTTCTGAAAGAGCAGATGATCTCAATTTGCAATTTTGCCTTTCTTCTTGCACTTTTATCTTAATCAAAATATGAAACTTTTGGAAATAATAGGTCGGTTGTCGTAAGTTTTTCAGCTTGATTTCAGACCGAAAAGATTGGCTAGGGACTTACACAAATGTATGTCTTTTGAATCTCCTGTGTTCCTTAGGTCAAAAGTGTTTTGAAACTACGAAAACTGAAGTCATGAAGGTTTTTGTACATCTGTTGCCATTTCTTTTTACTCCAAAAATGACATTTTTTTAGAAAATGTTTTTCACTGTGATGAAAAGTTTTCCGAAAACTAATGCTGACCGTGGGATTCAGTGCCACCCTTTGGTATTAGCCAGAAGAGTTGTAGCTATTGCGTGCAGGATAGAAATTCCCAAATTCCTATCGTGAATAGAAATTCCCGATAGAAAGCGTGAATTCAGTGTTGCCATCTGGAATACTGTACCCACGCAGTGTCTAAGCATCCCAAGCCCTGCCATGCCTGATTCATTTTGGCAGCTCATGCCTGTAGTTCATGTTTTTAGGTCTCTCACTGAACTCTCCATCCATCAGTCAAACGGCAGTTGGCTGATTAATGCTGCTTCTGTACTAAGAGCAGCACATCATGAAGCCTGGTAATGATAAGGGGCCAGAAGACCAGTCAAAATGAAGAGACAGAAGAAGCACTTCTCCATAGACCAAAGGAGGTGGCTTTGGAGGGGTCAGACTGGAGGGTAGGAACACTTTGATTTGTGGTGTGAAACAGCTTTCTGAGGTCCAAACCTCAATGGTGTCGAAGGAATGATGTCGAAGGAGTAGTGTATAGGCCATGCATCTTCCACGCTGGGAGAAGTGGTGAGCATTTCACTTACAGGGGAAGCACGTACGGTGCTCAGGAGGGCTCATGAATTACCTTCCCAATAAGCTGGGAAGAGGGTGGCCTGAGGCACTCTGGAAGGGTCCAGCCTTGACCAAAGTGGAAAAAATGCATAAATGTGTTGGGATTGGGCAGCGTGTGAGAACAGAGAACAAGGAAAGAAAGGAGAATCCTAGCTGGACCATCACAAGGGCAGGGGAAGATGCTGAGCACCAGAACCATCTCTGCTGAGGGGAGGTAGAACTGGGAGACGACAGGAGGTAAGTGAAGCAGTGGGATACCCAAGATAACAGCCAGTGAGTCAGAGCTGAGACTTGGTTCGTCTGGCACTGGAGGGAGGGGAGAGCAGCAGGGAGACCCTTTACCTCCTACCTGACAAAAGTGAGGAGAGACAGGGATCCCACAACGCCATAGAATGGGATGTATGTGATGAAGTAGCGCATGTAGTAGCTGATGGCCCAGGCTAGGTCCTAGGGGAAGAGAGAATACATTAGGCATCCCTTTGCCTATCTCATGTAACGTGTCCTTGCTGGTGATGTTAGGGACGCTGGGTAATTAATATGCAATTAATTAAGCAAAGTGCGATCCCTGCCCACTGGCCTCCCTCCTTACTCAAATGTGGTATCTTACGAGCCAGCCGGACCCCATAAAGATTGAGGGAACGTTTCACTCACCACCCAGAACCTGCGCCTGATCATGGTCGAGATGATTTGGATTTGGAAATACACAGGGATGAGCAGAGGCGGGAAGACTGCAAAGCAAAGGGAGATGTTTTGGCCATCAGAGGAAAGGCGTGTGACGTGAGAGTGAGCCAGTGACTTAGGAATGTTTCCAGGGAAAGTCTGCCTAGCCCTGGTGAGAGAGGTGAGGTGCTGGTGATGGGGGGTGGCTGCCTTTCTGTGAAGAAAGGCTCTGCTTCACACCCATTCATCTTGACTTATCAAAGAGCAATCATAGAATCACAGAATCATTAAGGTTGGAGAAGACCTCTAAGATCATCAAGTCCAGCCATCAACCCAACACCCCCATGCCCACTACACCATGTCCCTAAGTGCCACATCTACACGTCTTTTAAATACCCCCAGGGATGGTGACTCAACCACTTCCCTGGGCAGCCTGTTCCAAGGCCTGACCACTCTTTCAGTAAAGAAATTTCTCCTAATGTCCAATCTAATCAGCACAACCATGCTGGCAATATTCAAGATGCTTGGATATCATTGAGAATATACTGAACTGATTTTGGGACCGCCATAGGGGCTGGTGGTCCTGAGGAAGGGAAGGATGAGTTGAGACTTAGGGAGTTGCTCTGCTAACACAGCAGGGGCTGGAAAGGTGAACTGGCATTTAGGGAAAAAGGAAGAGTGCAGGGCAGGTACTCACTGAGGAAGAAGTACTCGTGCTGGTGGTTGTAAGGCAGGTACTTCAGCTTCTTCTTGCCATACTGCAGGACACAGAGGAGAAAGCTCAGGCTTGGATTATGACACTCACATGTAAGAGAAGTTTTCCTGCAATACTTTGTTTATTGACTGGGAGTTTTGACTACATTCCCACACCAGTAAAGGTAAAAAGTGTCTTGGTATGGTTAAATATCTTGACTTTGTAATTGTGTTAGGTGTAAATTCCTTTTTAAAGTCTTCTGGCTTGATATTCAGATAATGTCTTTTTACTTGAGAGCCTGATGGCATTTTAATGCATTTCTCCACCTTCTGCCATGCCTGTGGCTGTACTAAGAGCTGCTATCATCTCCATCATTACCAATACAAATGTGACGGGCATCAAGTCTGACCTTTGGTAAGTCCCTACACACAATGATGCTTGGGTAGTCTTCCACGCAAAATGTCCCATCCTTTTTGACTTCTGCAGCTGTCAGCCCCCATGAACTCCTGCCATTAGCCAGGTCTTGTAAAGGCTTTACCAACAGTGGGAAAACTAGCGTGGTCCTTAGCTGTTCCTGCGGCAGGTCACACAGACGTGCTTAAATCTATAATGTCCTGTCACTAGTTTGACATGTAAGTGATAGGAAGATAGAGTGCTGTCACTGAGAGCTATTCTGCACCGATTCCTGTGTTACTATGGTCCACCTACAAAGAGCAGATGCAGAGAATTTTCTCCAAACACAGGTTCGGACCTTGGAGTGTCGCATTTTTGCAGGTGCCCATTTCTTTTCAGTGAAAAGAGGGAGCCAAGAGCACCCGGTCTCCTAACCTCATCTCCTCGGTGAAATACCTAGAGCTATACAGAAGTGTCTTTTGAGCTCCAGGAGTGCTCATGCATGGAGAATCTGGATTGCTGTGAAATTGCATTTTTGATTCTAGCAGAGCAACTTCCCAATGAAGGTAAGTCTTGTAGCACCAACAAATCAGCCACACTATTCACTCTGGTCTGAGCTCTGAAAGGCTGTGTGCTTAGCATCACCTGGAAAAGGATTATATACAAGTGTGAAAGAATATTGGGATAGACCGATGCTGGCCTACCAGTTCAGGTATTTTGTAGGATGGAGATCCAGTTTTCCTTGTTGTCAGAAATGTTTACATTCTTAGCTTTCCCTTTAAGTGGTAGAACCACGGTCTGCTTTTACAGCCAGTTATCGAGCACAAGATTTTCCAATGGGTTGTACCCACACATTTAAGAGTGTGATACTGATTTACATCTTCTAGATAATGGCTTTTTTATACCCCAGGAGAAGGCTTTCATTTTAATCATATATAAGAGCCCTTCTACCTCTTGAAAATTGCGTGTATTCAAGACATTCTCTATACATGTCCATATACCAGCATGTATGTCCCCTGCATGAGTCTGTTGCTTTCTCAGTAGTATAAAAGCTGGCTGAGAAACCATTAACTTTTTAATGTTGTATTCCCCTGTGTTGTACTTGCTGCAGATGTTTCTTTGTTTGTTTTCTTTGGTTTGTTTTTCGTTTTTAAACCTAGAAATCCTTGTTCCATTGTAAAAAAGACCAAGGATGGTACATGGTTTATGTCCTTTGTGTAGGTTTTTATACAATAGACAGTAAATATTTTGGCTCTAGGACAGACTGAATTAAAATACCTTAACATAGCCTGTTACTTCACGTGCAGCATAACAGTACATAAGTAATGGAAGAAAGTATTGCTTATGCAAGCAATATCCCCTCAACGGCACGGGAAGGGCTCCAGTGGAGAGGACCTTGTACAGATTGTCTGGAGCACAGCTGGACTGACTAATACTGGAAGAGATTTTCTGTGGAAATGGAAGATCAGTTTTGAAATGTTCTCGATGAGCTACTGAGGAACACCATATTTTCCCCTCGTGTTGGTATTTCAAGCCAGCAGGATGAAGTTTTCTTTAATGACTTCCTACTTTCTTTCCAGTCCTATCTTGATTGATTTTCCCAAGCTTCCCCAAAACACTTTTCCCTGTGGTCAATGTTGGAAATGGATAGGGAATTACACAGTCAATCTTGCTCTTCAGCCCAAGGTTTGGGAGGGGGTGAGGGCCAAACTCCTGTCAGACAACATAGATAGAAGAAATCCCTGGATGAAGCATTTACTTTTTTAGTATTCCTGGAAGTCCTGATCCTTATGAGTCCCTTCCAACTTGAGATATTCCATGATTCTATGAAGTCCTGTGTAATTCAGGTCTACCAATACTAGCCAACTCCTGGTTTTGCACAAGCATTCTCTGAAGCCCTTTAGAGCAATGGTTTTCCACGTTTTACCCGCTTTGCCTTACCTCAACAGGCTGTGTATCTCCGAGGACAAAAACATGCAGCATGTTCACATCTGGGTCCTTCTTGAATATGTTGGGCTTGGCATGGTGTTGGAAGTGACGATGGTTCCACCAGTTTGCAGAGGCACCCTGGGCAGATACAAGAACAAGGAGTTAATCCATGGAAAAGTCCAGTTCCTCTAACGGTAGGATTACCCATTCGCTTTTACACACTAACACAGCGCGACTCTGATTATGGCCCAACCGTTATTTGCTTTTGAAATAGCAACAAGCAGTAAGTGGCTAAGCTGGTTTCAGAGGGATGATTTGCCCTCGCTAAGGATCATCCATATTGAAAGAACAGGGAATAAATACACTTTGAGTGAGTTGCATGTTACCATGTCTTCCCACATGTGAAGTCGTTATTAGTAGCTGGATGGTGGGCTGTTTCCTCTTGCTGCCTTACTGATCATTATACTGGTTTCCCTCTACTGCCCGTGCCTGTGAGGAACCCGGCAAGACAAAGTAGGTTTGGGAGAACGGGCAAAGCTATATCCCACCCTCTCTAAGTTCCTACTACAGGTGGATGCTGAAATGGCTGGACTGCACTGGACTTCGCCCAGGATAGAAGTTCTGAAGCATCTTGAATGGAGAGGCTGTAGCAGGATGGGACATTTGAAAAATACTATACCTTAGTGGAGGGCATGGTGAAAATATGACAGGATGTTAAAATAGGGTTTTATGCAATTTAATAAGCTTTGTCCTCAGCTGCTATAAATCGGTGTGGTTCCACTGAAGCTTGTGGAACTACTGTGTTCTCTAACAGCTACGGTTACACTCTCTTATCTCTTCTGCACAACAGCTCCGTGTGCAATGGTCACTAACTTCTCCCCCGTGCATCTGCTCGCTGTGGAAAGGCTTAGAGCTGCGGTTTCCTACTTTGACATCGTCAAAGTGACTGCAGCTGTTTCTTCAGTGCCCTGGGTCCATAATGTCCTTTTACCTTCAGGTGTCCAATGACAAACTTGTGGACGATGTGGTTCCAGGAAGACTTCTTAAAGACAGAGAGGTGTCCAAAATCATGTTGCAGCCACCCTGCCTGGGCCTGGGATGAAGGGAAATAAAGTCGTTAGAAAGCTGTTTGAAATCAAAGTTAAGCACAAGAGGAAATGGAGATAGAAGGCAAGTTGTGAGTGTGAGGAAGAGGGGGAATTAACTGCAGTGAAAAGGTGAAGATCTCGTTTCGGAGGGGAACATAGAATCATAGAATCATTCAGGTTGGAAAAGTCCCTTAAGATCATCGAGTCCAACCGTAAACCTAGCACTACCAAGTCCACCAACACATGGAAGGAAAGGCCAAAGAGGGTGAGAGCCACAATCAGCAGTGGGTAGGGGTGGCCAGAAGGCACCACACTGGCAGGTAAGCTGTGAATATTTTTCACTGGTATGAACGTTCTGCACTGGTAATTAATCTAATACGAAAAGGTCAGTGCACACTGGCCTTCTCCTGAGCGATTTGCGTAGCCAGTATGCTCTCGCCTACTGCTTCTCACCTGGGATGTTGTAAGGATGCAGGCGAGGATGAGAGTTGCGATCCAGCCAGTACCAAAGTATGAAACCATTACCCAAGCCAAAACTTCCATTGCGATGATATGGCCCAAGTAAAGAGAGAAGAACAAAGGATTTGCTCTGAACAAGTTCATGTCCTCTGCTGTCTTCCTCAGGGTCCGGAAATCCTCCACCAGCTGGGACTGCAAAATAGACGTGCAAGACTCGGTACGCAGCTTATAAGTAACTCTGAACGTGTCTGAGGAAGGAAGGCCAACTTCCATACTAAGGACCCTGGCTGTTTCTTGCATTGGTTGGCTACTCCAGAAGTAAGGAAGGACCTGCCTCCGTATTCACACTAGCTTTTCATAGCACTTTCCTATGAATAAATGTCCTGGCTGGTCTGAGCCCACGTCCTGACCTTTTGCACCTTGAGCTAGGAGAGTAATTCAAGCCTGCTGCTGTGAATCAGCGGCACTACCTGGTTGAGAGTTACATCAGCTGATGACTCTCATCTGAATGAGCTTTAAAAGTATTAAAGAGGCAGCTGGAGAAGGAGATAATTCAGTCCTGTGACTTATGCATAATTCCAGAGCTCTGATTGTGAGCACCCAATATCAGAGCACCCGTCGTCTATTTAATATGTGAGTCAGCTACCGTGCAATCATTCATGAAGAGCACTCCCGGGTTAATGCGGGTTAGCGTCGTCTCTTCTATTGTGAGCGATACAGATATTTCATAATCATGGCCAGTCACAAACAACAGGACAGGATTGAGTTTCGTGGCAAGAGCTAGTCACGCCGCACACTCTGCCTGAATAATGAATGAACGGACTGTCTGGGAGGGATACAGAGCTGCCCCGAGGATGCGGCGTGGAAAAGGTTGCGGCTCCTTAAGCACAGCCACCAAAATGTGGCATCTGGTTCACCTCACCCATAGGTGCCTACTGCTCGTGCCATGCATGGCGCAAATATGGCTGCTCTCCAGAGCTTTGCTGGTACTGGGCTCCGCAGGACAAGCCAGTTTGAGTCTCAAAGAGGTATTTCCCTGGGAGTTAATCAAAGGGAGCTGCGGAGCAAACAGTGAAAGAGAGTCAAGTCTTGTTGAGGTGGTGAGCAACTTGTTTGGAAGTCTTTTCAGACTTCTTTGCCCACTCCTCTCCTTCCCCCATAACAGGCAAGCGATGACACGTGTTTAGAGCTTTGCCAACGGAGAAGGAATAGCAGAAGGGACACCAGTCACAAGAACTGGTGTGCATTTCCCAGTCCACATGTCTCAGTTGACGTTTCCCTTCAGTATGGGATCAGTCCAGCTGGGCACCTGGAATGGGCTGCTAGAAATGGGACATGATTACCACAGACAGAGCTGTTGGTGGCTCTGTGGGAAAGGAAAGGCTTGTACAGCCCGTCTGAATGTGTCGCCTCCCTCCCATACACATTTTAATCTATACTGGGATGTGCACATTGGTACATGGAGGTGTTCAGATACTGAGTATTCTCCCTCTCTGGAGCTGCCTGTAGTGAAGAGACCTTTATAATGTGTCTGCCTCTGACCTGGAGGACATCCCAAGAGGAAAAAAATGGTGGAACATACCCGTCATAAACCCCAGCTCAGAAACAAATACTCACATTTTTATCTCGGTCCTGGCTAGGTTCCCCTGGAGCAAGCTCTCCAATAAGTAATGGCTTGAGAAACTTTTGCACCAAGGTGGGATTGATATGGAAGGCCTGGAATGCATCCTGGAGTGGAAATACGAGTGACTGTGAGATTCAGGAGTAAGCTGTTGCTTTCTGCTCGTTGTGTCATTCCCGTCCATCTCCAGCACTGTCCTCTGCAGTCGTCCCCCCCATGATACTGTGAAAGAGGGGTGCCAGACTGACTTCTACCTCTGCGATTGCAGTTCAGTGCAGCACTTCTACTAGAGGCTGATGAATTTATTTATCTAGTAGGAAATGAATGGTGAGATCTGGGATGCTAGGTAGACATATGGTGAAAGGCACGGCAAGAAATTTTTTCTAAGCAACTAAAAACCTAAATCCTGTTAATTCCCTTAGAAGGTAGGCAGAGGGGAATTTGTGCAAATCCCCACTAGGATGTAAATACCCTTTGAAAGTCTGCTGCCTGGAGGCAATTCAAGAGAGGGAGTGACCATGGTGATTGAACCTGGACATGACTGCGGATTCAAAAAATAGTACTGGGTGTTTTGGCCAGACCTGCAGGTCTCACCACTAACACGGCTGAGTAAAAAGTGGTGACTTTTCATTTTGGAGACTGCCTTTCCCTTTTTGTTCTGTAAGATGAGTAACTGAATGCTACTTTAACTCTTCTTTATTCTAGAACCGTGTTCTAGATATATAGGCAATTCTATCTCCATGCAAGTCCAAGTAAAATGTCTTAGAAAGGAACCAACCCAAAAACTCGGTTGTATACCAGAACTTCAAGCAATTGCTTTAAAGTGCTTGCTATCAAACTTTGCAGTGGCTGGGACCCATTCTGAAAAACACTTACACAAAAAAGCAACTTTATTCATTACTCTGAAATATGCTAAGGAGTTCAACAGTCTTGAAGAGCTGATAGTCATTAATACATGTGATAAGACTTCTTGTCATTTCTACTGTGCTGTGGTATACGGCTGCTTGTCCCTAGAAGAGGCCCATTAATCTTTTGCGAGACTGCTTGCATATTTTCTATTCAGTATCTGCCTTGAACGTTGGGTACATTTTACTGAAGTCTCTCAGACGTGTGATAATAGACATAAATAGCTCGTTAAGTTTCAGCAACAGAATCCAATAGAGGGATGAAACTTAATGTTGATGAAACTTGTGAAATAAATCCTATCCTATATACTCCTGAGGCTGGGAAAGCAGGAAACCCAGCTGGAATAATATTTTTCTTACATATTTTCAAAACGACTTCTAATATGGAAGGACAATGCCTTGTTTGTAGAGACTTTTTGATCCTGGCATTTTTGAGTTTGCCTGGCTCTTCTTTTTTCTATACTCTTTCAATGTTTTTGTCTACCTATGTCCTACAGATGCCTGATGGGAGCATGTATTTGATGCATCTGCTGCTGGTAGTGCGATCTTGCACACCCCTCCTTTCACATGGCATGGCTTGAATTTTAACCCCGAAGATAGTGGTAGGGACAGAAAGTTGACGAAGGTCAGAAACTCTTCCTCTGTCCTTGCCCTTTTCTTACTGCACAGAACTGGAGTTAACTCTAGAAAATCACCTAGGAGAGCTGTAAAGATGTAATTACATGAAGTGCTAAGACTGGTACAGAAAAAACAGTCAAAAATAGAAGTCAGGAGTACCATGCTTCAGCATTTCCACCTTTTCCCGTTGCCTAACAATAGTAGGGACCAACTAAAATCTCACTTCTAGCTCTAAACAGAAAGGGCAGGCTGGAAAGTGCTCACTGTGTCCAGCTGACCCTTCTGGGAGTTGACCTCCATCAAAAGTCTAGCTCTGGTGTTCAAAAATACCAGCCAACAACCTTGGTCCCAAAGTCCACCAAAATCAATAGAAACTTTCACCTGATTCCAAGACTTTGGATTGAGCTTCAGAATAATACTCTGACCATAGAAGTTTTGCTGTGGGAGGCACAGAAGGAGGGAGAGTGAAAGCTGATGTGGGCCATTTAACTTGAAGTTAAAGAAATGATATATGAGCAGTTAGAGATGCAGCATTGGTGGTGGGGTGGGGGCGGAGAGACGAGAGAAATAGGTACAGGAGAGAAATAAAACTCTATGGAATGATTTAAAGATTATAAAAGCCATAAAATACCAGAGGCTATGGGGGAAGAAGTAAAGAGGGGGAAAAAAAGAGTCAGTTCAATGGGGGAGGGAAATCAAAACGCCAGAAATGAAACTGAGGGGCATTTCTTTTGTAGAGCACCAGAATTTCCTAGTTACTCTCAGCTCAGCTCTCATGCCCGTACCGAAGTGCCCAAACTATCCCCTTTTGTAACCAATTTCAGGGACAAAGCGATCCCTGTTACCGCAGGGGGAAGTTTGGATCCGTTTGTCCAGGTCCACTCCTGAAGATTGCATCACTGGCATCACTTACCCCCGCAGGAGTGAGACCAGGGCTTTTTGACTACACTGGGTTAGCCGCTGGTGCTACTTTATCGGTGCCAAAATGAAGGTAAAACTCTAGGGCCAGCAAAACTGTTTCTACAGCCCTGTGCTGCAGAGAGTTTGGAGTTTCCCATGCAAAGAAATACTTGGCCTGAATCATCAGCTTCCTTCTCTACTTTGAGGAATTGAATTTGCTTTACCATAATTTATGCATACTTCACCCTCTCTGGTGTTATCCTCACAGCCCCTCGGAGGTTAAGAAATACTGTCCTTTCCCTTCTACAGAGGGGATGATACACTGAAGGACTGACTTGCCCAAGGTTACAACTGGTAGCAGACCAGCCTTAAGCCTTTTTTACTAGTGCTTCAGTTATTGTAGCATTTTCACCTCTTGGACCCGTAAATGTGTCACTGAAATGCTAAGTCTGGTTGCCAGTTTCCTTCCCTGGTACAATTTGCAGATGATGTGAAAGAGAGAAGAGCAGAATGAGTGGGGAAGTGAATAGCTGACTGTACCTGCTGCAGGGCTTTGCAATTTTGGGTGAAAAAAAGGGAAGAAGGGGAAAGAGGGAGAGGGTGAACACATAAGAAGCATTAAAGAATGTTGACTCAGTATTATTTAAACTAATGGGGCGAAAAAGTCTTTGGAGGTCTGACCGGGTACCGCCTGATCACCGTGCTGGAGATCTCGCTGATTTGGGTTGTGTTAATTGGCGGGTGACTCAGAACAGCAGCTTCTGCCTGACCACCTAGAAGGTATTTTTGTCTACCTGGGGCTTCCCCGCCAGTAGCCTGTTTTCTAAACGTGGTTACAAATGCTCTGTCATGACTTTTCCAGGGAGAGTTCTCCTCTGCCTCTGAACTTAATAGCCTCACTTCTTTCTGGATGGGATGAAAAGTAACAGTTGGAACTGGTCAGAAATGCAATCATGCATGTCAAAACACAGTTGTGACTCAAAACTACACTACCTAGCTTCCGCTCCACTGCTATCACAAGCCTATGCCATGAAGGAAATACTGGCAGCAGGCAAGTTTTACCTTCACTGAGAAGTAATACACATATATGTCATTAGCATGTGTAGAGAATGGCTTTTTCAGTATAGCCTGCAAGCAGGAGAAAGAATAACATCTCCTGAATACTCTTACCATCATCAGACAGAAAGCTACAGCGATGGAAGGATTGGTTTTTTATTAGCAGTATCTCATGCTTCTCCTTTACTAATAGGTCCTGAATGTAAGATACTACCTGAATTTTGGAATTGTCCTCAGTTCTGTACTAGAGGAGATAAAAAGCAAAAGGCAAAAGATAGTCTCTGGGAAGTGCCTTGTGATATTTATACCCGACCTCCCGACTTTGTGGTCTACTGGCCAAATAAGCCGAAGTTTCTTATGGGAAGCGGGCAAATGGGAATTGTTCCAGCTGCTTTTGGTGAAAAAAGCTTCCTGTTACTGAGGTATGAACTGTACCTGAGCATTTGAAGTGCTTAGCGCAGTCAGTACAAGGATGTTCTCTCACACCCTTGAACATCTCTGAAACAGAGGGACTGCAAGGTGCCCTTGCGTACTCCTGCCTTCATTTTCTGAAGGCAACTGTGCATGACGTGATACCAGGACAGGTTGTCCCAGACTCGTATGCTGTCTCAGCATGTTAAAGTATGGCCGAAAATGAATGAATGCTCAGCGTAGGGGAAATTCGTGCCTAAGGTAGCCTGGGCACTCCTAACCTGACTGGCATGAGCTGAGCGTGCTGCACCTAACAGCGGCCATGGAATCTTCTCAGTTCGCCCTCTTGAGAGCATCCTGGGATGAATTAGCTCACATCACCAAGCAGGGTATCTTTAGAGTGGCCCAGCATAGATGTGGAGTTCAGTGACTCCGTCAGCGGGCAGCTTGTGGCAGATGGATACACACGGTCCTCTAGAGGATTGGTCTGAGATGAATGGACAAGATCCTGAGGCTCCTTTGGTGCATGTTTGCTGGACTGCAGGTCCTAACTACGTGTGGCGCTAAGGAGAATCTGAGAAAGATGGAAGTCATGTAAGAACTAGGAATGTAAGCATGTTAAACTGAATTTTTATCATTGCTTTTTCCTCCTCCTAAACTCTTGCAGTTGTGATATCTTGCAGCACAGAATGAAACTTGTTAGTTAAGCTTTGTCAGGGTCAAGGCCAAGGCTTTCTCACCCTGAATGAGAGAGAGATTTTTTGGCGGTAAACTGTCATTCACCACAGGGAAGCTGGAAACCAGATGCCAATTCTGTTTTAGTGCTCAGAGCGATGATGAACAATTTCAGAGCGTTTGTAAGACCATGCCTTCATGGAGCGTGCTCTGGGTATAGTGGGATGCAACGTACCCTGGGGAGCGGGTGGGGAGGTGGGAGGAGGACCAGCAGTAGCAGAATCACAAACCTGTGTTTCAGTCTCCCCTGCAGAGATTGGAGACAATCGCAATAGCAGGTGCTTTTTGGTATCTAGTGGAGACGCTGGAGTTCAGTTCTTGGGGATAGGAGTTAAACTCCTCCGGTTTCAGCAGGCCTGAGTTTAAGGAGCTGAAAGTAAAACCTGGCCCATCTTTTTGGTGGAAAAAGCTATTCATTCAGAGGATTTATTGGAAGGGGCCAGGAACACCAAAACGCATCTCAGTGCTTCAAGTAAAAGAATGGAAGATAACCACAGACCACAGGCAAATGGAGACTGATGGAAAGGAAAGTGTTAGTAATTCTTGCCAATTAATTCTGCCGCATACAGATCCTCCTTCTTGCTAAGGTGTTAAGAGCCGTGGGAGATGAATAGTTAATGTTACAGCTTGGGCTCTCCTGCCGCTCACCGTGCACATACTCGCTTACCATGCACATACTCGGAAAAGCTCTGAGGCAGTTTAAATTTTATTAACTGTGGGCTAATGCCCTGGGGAGAGAACATGCTCTCTGGATGCACTTCTGAAGAAGGTGGCTTTGAGGGAGACTGCAGACAGCAGTCTCTGAGGCAATTTGTTCCTTTTTCAAGTTTTTTGTTTGGGTTTTTTTGTTGGGTTTTGTTTTTTTTTTTAAGTTGCTGAAACATGAGAGGTAGCTGAAACCAGCTATGAAGTGCAGGAGCAGCTGTAGCAGCAGCAAATGGTTTTCTTTTTTTTTTTTTTTCTTTTCTGTAGAAACCTGTAACTAAATTCTCTAGAGAATTCTGTCCTGGGGAAAAAGCTAAAAAGCTCCTTGTTTTAAAGCCTCAAGCTCACCCTCCTCACAGAAGCAACTTTGAAACGCAGACTGGCCTCTCGTTAACCCCTTCTTGTGCTTGGCTGCTGTGACTCTGCATGTCATAAGCTACACACTGAAGAGGGGAAGACTTGGGACACTTGGCTCATGAATTCAGAGCTCCAGGCACAGCACAAACAAGAAACAAAGACAAAACAGCAGGACTTAAGCAGAGCCCAGCAATCTCTACCAACCAATCTTCCAGATGCTGCAAATTGCCATGGCTCAACGGAGTTGATTACCAAGGAGTTGCATGAATTTGGACCAACCTTTTTGCTCCTAAAAGCGGCGAAAGAGATGAGCTGGGTGTTAGAGAGGTGGGGGGAGAGAGGCAGACAGCTGGCTGCAGAAAAGCTGGCCCACTTCTCAGTAACCACCAGGAAGGCAATGACCTGTCAGAGGTTGCTGATGAGAGCTGGCAGGCAGCCGCGTGTGTGTCCGTGCGTGGGTCCTTACCGTGGCATCTTCGCCGGCGCAGTGGCTGATCACTCGTTGACCCCCCGGGTGTCTGTTTGCCCACTTGGTGACATTATAAACCTTTCGCTCTATCACCAGCCACTTGTCCGTCTTCAGGTTGTGCTTCTGGATCTCCTCCCAGGTGTACAAGCGGATCTGCGCCTCCGGCTCCCCCGACTCCCCTCCTTTCTCACCCCTTTTCCCCATGGGGCCACTGGCTTCTTTGTCTTCTTGTCAAAAGGGGGGAACCCTTCTTAGGGAGGAGGAAGAGCTTTTCTTGCGTGATTTAACTCAGCTGATCCCCTCTTCTCTCCCTTCGCTCATGTCCTCCCTTCTCTTTGTCTCTCGCTGCCTGGCCCTTGCGATCGCTCCGCTCCGTCTCTTGCTCGGAACTGCCCCCTAGGCTGGTTTTCCCCGAGCTGATGCACTTTCTCCTCGCACAGAGCCCTGTTTTGTGGGAAGCTCGACCCCTTCCCCCCACCCCCCGCAGCACC